TAAAGATTCTGATTGTTTATGTTCCTATAATACCATGAATTGGTTGTGGTCATTAACGTTTATAAATTCCTGTCGCTTTTGAAGCAAGTTGATCATCTTGGAATATAGCGACTAATAGATGTTTCATAATTTAAGATACAATTGGAATTATTACATATAACAAAACCAATAGATATTTGCATATCTAATCAATATTATAATAGCAAATTCATTGTCTATTAGTCTAATAGTAATTCCAGTCATTACTTCAACATTTTCCAATATATTTAATTTTGTGACATTGTGAAATGGAAATGATTGTTGTCAATCATTATTCATTACAAGTCAGTGGAAAGAACATGTTTACCCTTGACTGACTGAAATTTCATAGGAGGATATCAGGCTGTGGTCATTAACTGTTCATAAATTCCTGTGGCTTTTGAATCAAGTTGATCATCTTGAAATTTGGCGACTAATAGGTGTTCCATAATTTAACAAGCAACACTAATTATTACACATAACAAAACAAATACATATTTGCATATCTAATCACTAATATTCTAATAGCAAATTCAATGCCTATTAGTCTAATAATAATTCTAGTCATTATTTCAACATTTTCCAATCGATTTAATGATTCGTGACATTGTGAAAAGGTAAATAATTGCTGTCACTCATTATTTATTATGTCAGTGAAAAGAACATGTTTACACATAACGAATTGAAATTTCATACGGGATATCAGTTAAATTTTTTTAAACTATAGGCTGATATCTATGAGGATACAGCACTCTTTCAAAAAGGAACTGCATAATATAATAAAATAAACTGTACTTGCTAACAGAGCACACTTACTTGCACTTACAAACAAACACTTACTTGCTAACAGAGCTATGGGATTCCAAAGCTCTCTGGCAAAGAGAACTTTACTGGATCTTAACAGAGGATCATTGGGATTATTCTGAGAGTCAGTTTGGATTCCAAAAGCTGTCCTTCCGATGACGTCCATGGTGAGTCCCTGGTACATGGGATAGATGTCGAAGGCTTCTCCAGCATCACATTTTTTCCCCACATTGGCGACCAAAGAGTCAATGGCGGTGTTCATAATTGGGGCCATCTTAAAAACCAAAACACGAAGTTAATCGCTTTTCATATGATAGTGTTAACATTTTATAATCCTCGATATTTTTTCTTCTCCCTAACCATTATGTCCTTGTGTGTGAGTATGCACATCTGATATCTATTTAAGAAATATTTCACAAAAAACAAACCCTTGATAATATTTTATTAAAATTCAAGAGAAAGAAACATTGACGTTCAATTGACTAGCACTCTGACCTTTGGTATCACAGACTTCTGGTTCGAATCCTGGCTGTGGCATGGATGTTTGCGAGTGGCTCGTAATCCACGTTAAACTGTAGGTACCTGTCTAATTAGCGTAAAATGTGCACAAAATGACCTTAGAGTGACAAACCAAACCAATCTTCATTGACGCGGCAGCCCCATAGTTAGCCGAGGATGTCTGCCTACGGGCAGATTCCTTAACGGGAAATGTTTTTCTTTTGACGGGTTAGGGATATCTGTCCTACTCCCAACAGTCATATTAGACAGGGACTTATGGCTTAAAGAGGATTCCGTACCACTATAAACATCCATGGCCCAGCCGGAATTTGAACTCGAAACTTGTGGCACCGAGGGCCAGAGCGATAGTCACTCGGTCATCAGGCCCCATATTAATAAATTAATTTCATTAATTCGATTCATCATCGTTGTACCAAACGATTAGAAAAATAAAATAATAAATCACCTAAAATACAGTAACCTTTCATTGTATGGGCCATGTTGGAAGACAAAGCAAAGCGCAGCAACCTGAAAGCCTGATATAACCAAAGATATCTAAGTTATGTGACATTTTGCCTTAAAACTGCATATGTGAACGAATACTCAATAGAAAAAATGAGGAGTTAGCATAAATAAATTATTGTGACCATTAAATATCACGAAATTAAATCGAATCGATGAACGCAACTATTTTATAAATCATTGATGACATTTATAGTTTTACAATACAACACAGAATTGAAATTTCGGATTATTAAAAAATGTAAAGATAAAAAAAATTGATAAAAAGTATCTAAGACCCAGAGAAACATGCTATTCGCAAACTATTATTTGCAATAGAACAATAGTTTATTTAAAAATATCGATAATAGAAGGCTCCACTGCACACAGTATCACTCATTCGAGTCCATTTTAAGATAAGATATGAAAATCATTATGGAATATTACAGGTATATTTTAATATGCAAAAAATTTCCTTGGCATATATTAATTTGTATATTATCTGTATCAAGCATAAAGATAGTGAGAAAAATAATGCGATTATAAAGTACTAAACTATTTTGAATCCCTATTTATAAATGAAAAGATTTTAAAATTGTAAATTTAGTAATAAATGTTAATTATATATAACGGAACACTTGAAACAAACAAATTAGATATTAAGAAAAGTAAGACTGTCACATAATTTTTATTCAGCTGTCCACCAGATGGCGCCAGGTGTTAAAATAAAAAGCTTTTATTTTTATTAAAAAATAAAAGTTTTGTAGTAGGAAACGGATAAAAATGTAAATTTAAAAAAAATTAGATTTTTAAGTGTTGTAGTTTTAAAGTTTTAATAAATATGAACAAATATTTAGAAAATATAAAAACAGGAAATATGAACAATTAATTAATTTTCACATCTTTCCAAAATTAATTACAGGTTTAGAGCAAAATCTATTTAATTTTATGATGGAATTATCTGATGTATCTTTTTTTAAAACACATAGTTGTTTCTTTTTTTAAGTAATATACACGAAAAAAATGATGATTTGTTATTTTCCTTTTCTATCTGACTTTTTAAAATGCATGACTAACATAAGATTAATTAATCAGATGCAAATATAATAAATTTAATATTTTTGATATCTTTGCTACAGTTTTGATAAATTGACCAAAGGAAATAATTCTTTGAAAAAACATGCATATTAATCCCGTGTGGGTCCGGGTTAGAATAGCCTCACTGTAGCCAATACACGTCGTAATAGACAACTAAAATGGGTACTCAGTGCCCAGGGGTATAATAGGGTGGGGTAAAGTTAGACTTCTCCCTTTGGGTGTCCCATGTCTTTGTGCCACAAAGTCAGGGATAAAAAGAAGCTGCATTTTTTACCGTTTATCATGACTTGACAGGTTCATGGCCTTGTTCTAGAAGTTGCTGTTCAATCAAGTGATATAAGAAACGACAATAGATACTGAGTTTCTTTTTTTTTAATATTTTAGATAGATATTTAATTTACAAATAAAATAAGTAATATAAAAAAAAATTAAGTCAATTCCTACTTTTTTTTCACTATATTGCAGAAAGACCTTTGTAAATAATTTTCGTTCATTTTTTTAAGTTAGCAAAAATTTTCTCTCTCTCTCTCTCACATACACACTTTCCCTCCTTGACTAAAATCCAGAATGAAAAAAGAATCTGAAAAAGAAATTTTTTTCCAGCGATCTACATGCTTCGCCACTGACGGTATTTATTCCTAAATTTATATCCTGCTAAATATCTTATAGAAAAGAAATTTTTTTCTCCCATATAAAACTAAATTTAATTAATTAATTTTAGTTTTATAATTAAAGGAATTAATATTTGAAAAAACTGTATTGACATCCAGTGAATATTTGAAAAAATATTTGAATAATATTTGAAAAAACTGTGATGACATCCAGCGTCATCCACTACAAGCTCAAAAAAAAAAATTATTTGAAGTTGAGTGGAGGAATAAAAAGTATTTATGAACGATTAAAAATTTGAAGAAGATATATATAGGGAGAGTGTGAGCTAATAGAAGGAATTGAATGAATAACAATGTTGGGCTAAATTCCTTTAATATTAAGCAGAGTTAACTCGATACTCATTTCAGGGAATAGTTCAACAAGGGTATTTTTTTATTTTATGCAATCCATTGGCTTAAGTTTCATTTGATTGTTGCGATACATTGTGATACTCAAAGCGATATGCAAGAACTATATTATTTGTGTTATCAAATAATACTGATAAATATATACGTCTGCTAAATTTTTGGCAGATGTTAAGTTATTCATAAAGACATTCTAAATTACCTGCTGGCAACTGGCGTACCGATTACGGAGTACCAATAGAGATATACCCCTTAACCTCCTCATCTTAATTCATGGATAAATTTAACAATTATTAGACAAAATAAAATAAAAATTACAAAATAATGTTTCTAAAATTAAATACAAATCTAAAACAAAATTTAAAAATAATAAAAGTAAAATACAAAATAAAAAATTAAAATTAAAAATAAAAGAATTTAAGTTTAAATTCGTTACAATTAGAAACCAGTTGTCGATGCCACAAAACTATTGAAGGTGTAAACATAGTGATTAAAGGGTTATGCTGAACGGTGGGAGCCCGTAATGATGAATCTAAAAAACAAAATGATTAAAAAATCTCCAAAACAAGGCCGATCGCAGAACCGATGTTCTTTTTCAATTCCTTCTATTAGCTCCCTATATATATCTTGTTCAAATTTTCAATCGTTCATGAAATACTTTTTATTCATCCACTCGCGTTCAAATACATTCTTTTTTGAACTTGTAGTGTATGACACTGGATGTTAATACAGTTTTTTAAAATATTAATTCAGTCGTTAAATTTAATTATTAATTATAGTTTCTTTTTAGATTTAAGTTGTTGTTGTTGTTTCTTATCCCACTTGGCTGGCCAAGCCCACGAGCCCATACGTGCTCATGATTGAAGGGGAAGGAAGCAGCTTCTGTTGTGATGGAGCACCCGTTAGAAGCCTGACTTTGCTCCGTGACGCTCTTACAGTCATGGGAGACCGGGACCTACGGCTTAAAGTGGATTCCGAACCACTACAAACATCCATGGCACCGCCGGGATTTTGGCACCGAGCGCCAGAGCGCTAGACACTCGGCCATTCAGGTCCCAAATTTGCCAACGGCACGCGGTGTTCCCAGGTGGTCACCCACCCAAGTTGATTGATGCTTCACTTCGGTGATCTAACGAGAACCGGTATATTCAGCATGGTACGGCCGTTTTTAGATTTAAGTTGCCTATATATGCCAATAGATGGCTCCAGATAAACTTAAAAAAATGAATGAGAATTATTTATAAAGGATTTTCTGCAATATAGAGAAAAAAAAGTAGCGATTGACTTTAAAAAAAAAAAATTTATATTACTTGTTATTTATTTATTTATTTTTAAATATTTTTTATTTTTATTTTTACCTGCTTCATTTTGGAGGCCGTGAAAGAAGGAGTGATGATGGACCGGATTTCTTTCCATCTCTTGTCCCTAAGACTATCAAATGTTGAGTGAAGCCTTCTACTCTTTTGACCTTGGTGTTTTTGGTACGCTCCTGTCCGGGACGGAATAAATTCTATGGAAGAAATGAGATTATTGTACAACACAAAACATGTTTAACATTTTCATACAGTCCATAAGCTCGATTAGAAGGTCAAAGAGAAACGTTTCTCATACAAATCATTGAAGTACTCGCGTTTCAACATGAGGGTGAATATTTGATTCCTCCAATGGTGAAAATTGTTATGCAAATACTTTTGTAAGGTTTAAATATTATTATTATATAACCGCGAGATGTCGTGGTTATAACTGGTAACTGGGACCTTAACCGTGGTCCAGTGTGGTAAGTAGCAGTGGCGGTGAGATCTTCAGACCTCGAAGTGAACGCTAGGAGCGTCAGATCGAAACAGACGGTCAGGGACCGGCTCTGGCTTTTAAATATTCATACTATTGTAGAAGAGGCACAGGGTGCCATGTGTGTGTATATACTAATAGTGTAAATAAATTCATGTAAATAGAAAGAGAGAGACTTTCATCCTGACACAACTAGCTGTTAGTATAGCAGCTTACACTTTCATAGTGTATGCCAGCGGTCTCCAAAAGGGAGTATGTAGATCCACGATCCCACAAGGAATCGTGGTATATAATGGTGGATCACAAGGAAAAAGTGCTCTCCTGAGAATTTGTTGTTTATTTTCGGTAGCGTCTGGAGAGCTCAACATCATAAACGCATTCATAGAGCATTAAAAAATGTATCAACAGTATATTAATAAATGCACTAACGATAGCTAAAATAAATGCATTAGCCTCATAAATGTATTAAATGATCTTTAATCATTAACAAAGAATTAATGAAACCGCTAATAGGTGCATTTCACTAACAGAGCATTAATAAATGCATCAACAGAGAATTAATGAACTCCCTAACATATGAATAAGTTAAGCATCAGCATCCTAAATGCATTAAATGAGCTTTAATAAATGCATTAACAGAGCATTAATATCATAAATGCATTGCTTTAACAGAGCATTAATAAATGCACTGACATAAGTGCATCAGCATCATAAATGGAAGTAATAAATGTATTAAATGAGTATTAAATGAGCTTTAAGGGACGCACTAGTAGATACATTAAGTTTACAAATGCATACACTATTCATTGTACAAATGCATTAGTAAGCTATACCACCTCTCAAAATTTGTCCGATGACCATTCAATCAACCTGTATGTTTATTTATAATCCATAAATAAAATGAATACAGGTTTGTAAGACTATTTTTGAACTTTAGAGTTTAGGTTGCTTTATACGTGTATAAACTTTCTCTCAACGTAAATTTTTCTGTAATAAAATTTCTTTTTTTTATTAAAAAAAAATCAATTCTCTTTAGAATATCTTATCAAAAATTTTTTTTTTTTTTTTGCTGCTTTTAAATTCAAATGACATGAGTTAATACTTACAGGTCGGTTTATAAATTTATGAAATTCCGAAACTTGAACCTTTTTCAGCAAATCCACATCAGCCATTAAAACTACTGGTGTTGTCCCTACATAGTATCTGAAAAGATTTTTAAAAAATTAAGAAACATTTTTGAAAAATACATAGAGAAAGTTATTGATTCCTATTAGTCATAATACGATTTACATTACAGCTTTTGAAAACGTCAGACATTTCTGAACGCCATAGATGTAGATGGTTAAGAGTTACCCAGAATGCAGCCCGATGACCTGCTATTCTTTACCAATATTCTACAACCGCAACTTGCAAATGACCCTGAAAAACAAACCCCTTGACCGGCGAGTAATCAGTAGTGCTCTACTACTTTGCTCAAAAAGTAAAAACCATTTTTCAATTTAAATTTCCCGGGGCATACGGATTTTTTATTTTTATTTTAGGTTGTTGCCACTGCCCTTGACATCTGTGTGAAATTTCGCGTCAAAATATTCATTAGTGTTTGAGATACGCTTGGCTTTGGGAGACGCTAAAACTGATTTCGGCAATTTTTGAAATGTCTGAATTCATTGAGCAAAGAACTTGCCTTAAATTTTGTTTGCGAAATGAATATTCGTGAGTGGAAACGTATGATTTTTTTGTGACTTTTTCGCCAAAAATGAAATCCATGTCGTTCCACAACCACCGTATTCACACCGTGCGACTTCTGGCTACTCCCTAAACTCAAAAGACCACTGCGGGGACACCATTTTGAGTCGATTGAAAAGATTCAGCGGGAATCGACGCGCGCTTTGAAGGCCTTCCCTACCGATGACTTTTTAGCATGCATCGAGGATTGGAAAAAAAAGTTGGCATAAGTGCATTGTGTAAGTAGGGGAATAATTTGTAGGCGATGAAATAAATTTGGAAGAACAAATAAAGAGTTTTTGGAGAAAAAAAACAATTGGTCTTACTTTTTGGGCTCAGTAGTAAAATATCATAACTCCTTTCATTCGCGGTCGAAGTTCGACTTTATCCAATACTTCCTGTACCTAGAAAGGTATTCTCTATCTGGAGCCGAAATTTTTTCCTTTAGAAACGTTTGAGGAAAAAAAAATTTTTCCTCAAGCGTTCTCGCGCATTTTTCATTCTTCATCCACAACGTTCACGAAAGCCGCTCTCTGGTTCCCAACAGAAATATTTCCCATTCTTCTTCTTCTTTAGTGAGACCTGATGACCAATTGGTTAGCACTCTGATCTTTGGTACCACATGCTTCAGATTCAGATCCTGACGGTAGCAGGGATGTTTGTGAGAGATTCGGAATCCAGGTTAAACCGTAGGTGTGTCTAAAGTGTGCAAAAACTGACTGTATAGCGGCAAATCAAATCTTCATTGGCACTAAAGCCCATAGTGGACCAAGGTCGTCTGCGTACTGGCAGATTTTGAGACATGAGATGTTTTTCTTTTTAGCATTATTCTCGACGCTGTAAAGTCATATTTGACCGGAACTTACAGTTTAAAGTAGATTCCGAAGCACTACATATATCCATTGCACTGCCAGGACTCTAACCCAAACCTGTGACACCGAGCTCCAGAGTGCTAGTAAGTCGGTCATCAGGCCGAGAATATTTTCCATCCTACAGATCTATAGTATGACATCATTTTTCTTACAGACATTTAATATGTATTGTCATAACGAACCAAACTGAAGTTTCCATTACAAAATACAATCACAACTAACGAAAGTTAAGAGGATTAATTGGACGAAACATTGATTGCAAAATTTAAAAATCTATAATACTAATGTGCAATCCATATAAAATATTAATGTATAACCCATATTTACACAATAATTTTACAGGTAAAAAACTGTAAATGTTCAAATAACGCATGCAACTGTTAAATATTTTTGTTTTATAATAATCATTATATGTTAACTCTTTTAGCTAACATATAATGATCATGTAAGATGTTTCACACATTTGATAATCTCATGTGTTTTAGTTTTGATGCCTATGTTACTGCCTAAAATCAAATTAAAATAGCACTTTTGCCCAGGGTCGAAATTTTTAACTATTTTGTTCTTTAAAAATCGATTACCTGTGGTTTATATATCATTTATAATAATTAATACTGTATTTACCCCATTACATTGTTATGACGGAGCTCTAACTAATATATGGCCCAACTATATAACAACTTAATAAAACCATATATATTTCAGTGTACTCACCCTACTATTTTTCCATACTTTTTGAACCATTCCTCGTGACATTTAATAGGAGTCTGCAAAAAATAAATTTATTGTAGTTACTTATATAAAGAATAATGCACATTAAAAGATAAATTTAATTACAACTAACGGTTAAAAAGTTAAAAAAGGGAAACGACACACTTACTTTTCTGATTAATTCTAGCATATTTCCGAACAAGAGGTTGGGTTCGGGTCCTGGTATGCCTTGCTGTTTCAAAACGGAGAAACATCTTTTTCTGTGGCTGTAAAATTAAATAAAGATGTATGCAGATTTTTTTAAATCTTATAATTTGCTTCGCCAAATATATCAGCTAACTATTTTATTGAGTTAAATAGCAAATCTTAATATTTTTATTATCATAATAGTATTTCTTGAATATAAATGTGTGTGATTTTATTATGCAATCAGTTTTAAATATTATTTTATAGAAAAATTATATCAAAGAAATATTAAAGAATAAATATTAAAACTTTATAACTTGATATGTAATAACTTTCAATTTATTTTGTGAAAAAAACATATTTTTTTAAAAATAAATACTGATAAATAACTATCTAAGTCATTTGATAGTATTAAAAATAAGTAATAATAAAATAAATGCTAAATAGGTAAATACGGATAATTAAAAATAAATACAGATGAGTATTAGAAATAAATATTTTAATATATATTTAAAATAATACTCTATACTATATTTTAAAATAATACTATATTTACAATAATAATACTATATAATAAAATATCAAACTTCTAAATATGTTCAGCTATTTTTCTTAGTAAAATTTATCAAAATTAAATTTTTATTTTTTATTTTTGGTAAACTGTCAATAACGGACCATTTCTGGTAATTATATATAAATATAATTACTAGAATATTAAATGTGAGATTTATGATATGAAAGGAAAGCACTGATGTTTATAAAAAAAGAAATAATTATTACACAAATGCAAACGCAAAAAGTGAATTCAATTTTCAAATAAATATTATGCTTAGAATACATTTTCTAGTCCTTCGACAAAATTATAAGCATATAATATCCTTAAC